TGTTCATTGTCATTATACGGGTTGGTGCAGAAAAGTAAGACATTGAATTTCATTTGATTTATTTTCTCTTCATTACAATATATATTGTCACTTCCATTAGTGTATTATTTAGTTTTGGCCATACCTGTTTTAGTGAGAAAACTAAATATCTATAGATGCTTTTTTTCAATTTAAATATTTGTTAGAACTTTAGTCTGGAGGGGGGTTGGATGGCTGAATGGTTAGCGTGCGCGCGCTGTACAATATAGTCTGTCATTGAGTCGACTGGCGTGGTTTCGAATCCCGTTGTATGTGACAAGGAGTAGGGTCGCCTGTCCAACCTCGTGGGTTTTCTCCGGGTCCTCCCATTGCTAAAGACCCCTAAGCGCAAGCGAATTATAGAAATAAAAAAGAAATTAAACCATGTTAGTCCCGAAATGACCTAGTTTGTGTCGAGTGGACGGTAAACCCCATTACTCTCTCTCTCTTTTAAGCCTGGAATATTATCTGTAGAAAAGGTTTACAGATATTATAGAAGATATAATTTTTGGGTCATTGTCTGTTTTTAAATCCTCTTCAGTTTATCGAATAAATTGTTTAAACAAAATATTGTTATGCTAAATACTGAATTTGTGGGTGTTGACATCATCACACTGTCAGAAACATGGATTGGTAAAAATGTGATGATCCGAAATTCCTGTAACTAGTAATAGTATTACGTGTTCATGTATATCTGACTTTATATTTAATTACGGGTTTCTAAAATTATCTCTTTGGCTTTTTGTGTCTCATCTTGCCTAGGACTTCGTCAGGTATTTATTTTTATATCTAATTTTAATGTAATCATTGTCCATTGTATTATCGGTAATCCTTGTATTTGTTTATCGTTCGCTATAATGTCCTGTATTGTGAGTGGTTAATCTAGTCTACCTTCGTCTTATTGCGCATGCGTGGCGCGCATTATTTAAGAACGGACAACTAGTCTGTCAGAGATTCGGATGAAGGAATTACCCGAAGTTAACGACTGCACTTGAAAACCGTTTTTGTCGCCAGAATCAAGGACAACTTTATCGATCGCAGTTAAGAGCCTATAAACGACAACACAAGGAATGTTTACCGGAACTAGGACAAGCAATACAAAGACTTGTATCTTTGGCCTATCCTTCCGGTCCTTCGGAAATGCTGGATATCCTATCCAAGGACGCATTCTATGACGCACTTAAGGAAGACCGTGATATGGCTTGGCAAGTTATAGTGTCACGACCAAGTGCTTCAGATGAAGCTATGCAAATCGCGGTAGAACTAGAGACACACAGGGTGATCAGTGGTTCTGATAAGGGACATCTTCGTGGTGCGGAGTCCAAAACTGAAGAAAAGGGCCTTAAGATGGTACTTGATAAAATGTGGGAAGTGTTAAATGGTGTGTCTTCTAAGTTAGAAAAGAGGAAGCAGAACGAGATGACAGGAAGTGAGAAGAAGAATGAGACGGTGACTTTGAAAGAAGTTGAAGAAGACAAGAAGAATAATGAGACGGGGACTTTGGGAGAAGCTGCTGAAGAAGACAAGAAGAATAATGAAACGTAGAATTTCAGAGAAGCTGAAGAAGATAAGAAGAACGAGACAAGGGTTTTCAGAGAAGCTGAAGAAGACGGCGGGAAGAGAATAAGAGTCCCAGGGTCGTTCTGACGTAATTAAGTATCCGCATGGTTCAACCGGTTATACCAGGATCAGCCGCTATGAGGTGAGAGAAGAGGGAGGTGGAGTAATCCGGACTGGCCTTATGACGTCGAAGGGTATCTACAGAGAGCTCACATCATCAGACAGGAGGCAATGGGACCATACGACGCAGCTGAACCTAACTTTTTTCCAGTGTGAACTGTGTATTGTTTGATTTTAATGTTTTAATCATGTTTTGTATACTTCGTTTTTTTACTAATAGGTCAATTGGTGGGTAATGTGAGTCAACTGACGTCATTGAGTCAACTGACGTGGTTTTGAATCCCCGGTTGTACCTGACAAGGAATAGGGTCGCCTGTCCAACCTCGTGGGTTTTCTCCGAGTCCTCCGGTTTCCACCCACTGCTAAAGACCCCTACGCGCAAGCGAATTATTGAAATAAAATTAAACCATATGTTAGTCCCGAAATGACCTAGTTTGTGTCGAGTGGCCGTTAAACTCCATTTCTCTCTCTCTCTTTTTTGGTTTCTAAAATTATCTCTTTGGCTTTTTGTGTCTTACATCTAATTTTAATGTAATCATTGTATTTGTTTTATCGGTAATCCTTGTATTTGTTTATCGTTCGCTGTAATGTCCTGTATTGTGTGTAGTTACTTTCGTCTCTATCCGCATGCGTGGCGCGCATTATTTAAGAACGGACATCTAGTGTGTCAGGGATATAGATGAAGGACTTCAAAGTGAGAGGTCGCTTGTTACTTCTTGTGTCTGGATACGTAACCATTTCTTGGACCGTGTGTTTCAGGTTACCTTGACCATAATCTGGGCTTTTGCTCATACGTTGGTCGATACTTATACGCTCTAGTATCTCAGTGTTAACCAGTGTGTTCTATTGGAATACAGCGGGTGTCCGCGAACGTGTCGCGTGGGCCAAGCCATTTTCTTGTCCTTTCCTACAACGCGCTTGACGTCGGCTATGGGTTGATCGCATTTGTGAATTGGGGGCTGTCCCTTCCTGTTTAATAACTAACTCCCACTCGTGTGTTAACTCTGAGTAAGCCTTTAATAGGTTTAGATTTGTCTCGACTTTAGACCTCTATTGGACTATAATGAAGTGCCTTATTTTATACTCCGTCCCAGTGTATTTAATTACCAGTGGATTATTTGTGTGATATTCATATTGTTAGATTATCTGTACCTGTATATGTTTATGTGTTAAAAGAATTACCGGGATACCGATTGCTCCATTTTTGATATTATTGTTATTACTTGATGCTTTTATAGTTTTATATATAAAGTATCCCCTGGATAATCTTGTGTGTTTGTCTTATTGAAAATAGAACGAGGGAATTTGGGGATCTTCCCGTTTAATAAAAACTCCCACTCGTGTGTTAACTCTGAGTAAGCCTTTAATAGGTTTAGATTTGTGGCGACTTTAGGCCTCTATTGAAGTGCCTTATTTTATACTCCGCCCCAGTGTATTTAAATACCAGTGGATTATTTATGTGATATTCATATTGTTGGATTATCTGTACCTGTATATGTTTATGTATTAAAAAAATTACCAGGATACCGATTGCTTCATATTTGATATTATTGTTGTTATTACTTGATGCTTTTATAGTTTTATATATAAGGTATCACCTGGATAATCTTGTGTGTTTGTCTTATTGAAAATAGAACGAGAGAGTTTGGGGATCTTTAAACTTCAAGACATTGACATAAATTCAGGGTCTCGGGTCTGGCAGTATATGAGTAACGTCACTTTTATGCTGACACTTGCCCCCGTTTTCTCCGAAGAGTAGCTGTGGTCCGAAGGTAGACCGAAAAACCACATCGCTTGGATCCCCGTCCAGTGCTGAGCACACACACCATTTATATTGCATCAAGAGTAGGTGGCGGTAGAGTGGCCGAATCGAACGCCACAAAAACACGAACATAGACAAAAATTATTGCAATGTTTTCATTCAGCCATTCTCTTAAACAGGGACGATGGTTATGGCGGCGTGGCCATTTACATAAGGTCTTCCATACACTTCATTCCTAGACACGATCTTCATGTTAATGGCATCGAAGCAATCTGGTCAGAAATTAAGACTAAATACTGGAAAAGTTTCTTATAGGTTCCTTCTATCGTAAGCCCAATTCTCCAGTGGAACTTTGGACTGCCATAGAAGAAAGCTGTTCTTTAGCCAAGGAAGACAATAAGAATTGTATCATTGTTAGTGACTAACTACGATACATTACGTTATCCTACTTGTAAGATATGTTACTTGGCAAATAGATTAAATTTACAACTCATCACAAGCCAAACACGTATAAGTCTTCTTGATCTATGTCGTGTATCCTGTACAGATCACGTGGCCATTGTTCATTAGAGATTAAAATCTGTAGAGACAACCCGCACGATCATGCATATTCTCGTACAATCTGGAACTATGAATCTATGGACATTGTAAATATCAATCGGTTTTATAACAATTTTAACTGGAATCAATTATATGTTGAAAACGGTATATCCCCAAATGTTTTAGTACGCAAGATTTCTAATGTCATTTTAAAAGGTATTGATTTGTATGCACCACATAAACACATAACTGTACGACCCAAAGATAGTCCTTGGATGAATGGTCACATTCGCCGCATTATTCGGAGGCGAAATCCTATCCACAGGAAAGCAAAACAATCCAATCTTCCGATAGATTGGGCAGATTTTCGACATCAGCGAAATTGTGTCACTGGGGAAGTTAGGAGAGTAAGAAAAGAGTTCAGTCAAAAACTTGACCAAGAAATCAATGAAAACCATTTTACTGAAAAGAAATGGTGGAAACTAGACAAAAACAAATGGTCTAAGAGGAACAAAAGTCGTATCCCCTTCTTGTAGTTGAACAAGGCAAAATCCTTACGTCGTAGTCGAAAAGGCTAATACTCTGCATGATTTGACAGTCCAACTTAGAAAACCTAAACGACGAACCACCATGCATTCCGGCAATTGTGACGATTTTCATCAGGCTCTTAATCGAGTTAGTGCAAACATTTTACTTGGAACTCTCTGGATTTGTGTTCCTTGTGTTATAAGCTTTCCAAACATGTATAGTTTGTTTAGCAGGGAGGACATTGCAGCGGAACTTCACGCTAGAAATGTGGGCTGCAGGCCTAACAGGGGATACATACATGATATCTGGAAACAACAGGTCAATCTACTGTGGGCGAGGGAAAACACGGGTCACGATTGTATGGAATACATTAACTTTATTACGGAAAGATACATTTAAAGCGTCAATACAAGACATACTAATTGGTACACAATTAAAATAACGATGCGCCATTTGCATTTTCCGCTTAAACATGAAGATGTCTAAAGTCCTAATCAATGATATTATGTACTCAGGTTTATTATTTAATATATGATTAAGAGAAAATAATCAAATACTAACGCTAGATGATGTCACGGCTTGAATTGTGTAGTATATGATTAAAACAACAAAATCAAATAATAACGCTAGATGATGTTCCGGTTTGGATTCGATCGGATTTAAAACAGGCCTGCCAATAAATGTCAAGAGGGCAACAAAATGACGACGGACTTATTACATATCAAGGCAGCACAGAACAAAATTGATCCATTCTTAGACTGTTGTTTCTAATAGAGATTCATCTTTTACAACATTGTTTCCTATACCGCTAAAATGGCATATCGAGGCTTTAAAGAGACAAAAAATACCAGTACTTTAACTTGGTTTAAACTGCATGATAACTATTATATATGAGACCAACGTCCCGAACACCTGAAACGATACCATTATAAAACATCAAACTCTGGTAAAATACAAAGTCTAGCGAATAAGTTCCAAATCGAGTAAATGAATTTAAAACAATTAACCGGTACATTTATTCACGTGCTAGGCGTAATGTTAGGACTTTATCCAATAGTTTTACCAATGAGGCACAGATTGCTCGTTGATTTATTTATACAAACCTGAAGTCTAAATATTGAACCACATAGCCAAATCCAATTAACAGACAATTAGTTGGCAAGCCTCAAAATCTAGGTGTTATTCTAAGTCAATATTCAAAATCGATTCGAACTCGCATGATATATTGTGACACGGATGAAAATGTTATTGTGAACATTATATCAAATCAGGATCCGCAGTGTCCAAAATGATCCCTTGAGAGTTGAAACGACACAATTCTATCCCTCATTTTGCACAGATAATCATTTAAGTAAATATCACATTTTAGTCTCGGAATGATATAAGTAATCTGTCCATTTAATGTTCAACACCATTCAATTCTATTGTTTATAAATATCTTTAAATTAATTGTTTAATTCATCTTACCGTTACCATGGTAGTTTTATCGAGAATAAATAATTTCATGAAAGTCAGACCGACATCTCCACTTCTCATGTTTTCTATAAACAAGGTGACCTGAAATTGGATGTAATTATGTTAGCACCGATTAATCAACGTTATCCCTTTTCTGTAAGTTGTTCACAAGATTGCATAAAATCGTGTTACAAACTGTAGCAATTATCATGTTTACGTGGTTAAATGAAAGGGGAAAGTAACTCTGATACAGAGGGGCATACAACAGCTCTATTGCGTTTTTGGTAATAAGAACCATCAACAACTTTAACCTCTTGGGTTCACTAGACAGTTGCTGACCGACGTATCTCCCTCTATTTGTCATACAGTCTAATTATTATTCGAGCAATCAAGATGTAACTACACATTTAAAAACTTGTTTGCCTCCAACGATCTCCAAAGCGCTAGACTTTTAAGAAACAGTGGACTAAATTAGTGTTGATACCTACCAGAGAAATTGTTTCCTGATTCATTTTGCTCCCATCCACATATTGGGTCGTCTCTAAACACAGTTTTGTCTATAAAACAAAATATAAATGAACCAGAATATTTTCTATATCAGATGAGAGATGTAGGTGTAGTAAAATACAAGACTATTATTGAAGATGTATAAATGTACCATCAAAATTTTTTATAAACTGTTTCCGATACATGCTAACAGAGACTTTAGATATTGTATTTTAACGGAGACAAACCATTAGGGCTGGACAATCTATTTTAGTTTTGAACTTTTTTAAGACGAATAAATGATTGTTTAATTCAGATATCGGTTTTACTTTGGTGGGAAATACTTCCGAGTAATTTATTTATACTAGTATAAAGACTGGAGACCATAATAAAACACCCCTCCCATATTTATTTTATTTTTAGGGCCTTGAAGGTACTTACACTTTCATTTAATGCTACTCCAAATTTTAAAACTAGCAGCATTTCCGACGTAGCTAAAAACAGCATTCCAACCCAGACAAGGAAGATTACAAGACTGGTATTACCGTAGGCTAGAGCATGTATATACAAACACACTCCTGTAAAGGATACACCAATTTCCAGTACTACATATGGATTCAGGAAATCGTCTACTTGTTTTGCGAATTTGGTAATAGCGAAGTATCGTTTTCGTATGATCTCGACCTTCTCAGTAGTTTGATCTGAATACAACATTTTCCTAAACTCGGTGTTACATGCAGTGAACTCTATCGTAACAATTTTACACAGTACGCCTATTGTCAGGATAATAATAAATTTATGTCCAAAGAAAAGGGTAGCAGCGGGGAAGATATTCACAATGGTAATCCAGTAATACCACGAACCAGTCCTCATAGGTGACAGGAGACATATATAGTCGTTTGTGAAAGCGGGAGTGAAATAAATCTGAGAAAACATCAACATGAAACAGGCTACCACAATAATAATCACCATAACTTTAGTAAATTTCCTTATTTTGTCATAAGACACAGCAAATCGTGGATCAGATCGGAGTTCATCACATGCTTTAATTAACAAATATAGTTTTGAAGGAACGTGTATCATTCCATACAATATTACGATTACTACCATAATGTTCGAAAGCAACAACCCAGTGTAGATAGCAATATTTTTATGATCCATAACTTTCTCTGCTCCCACTAAACACCACGCCATGTTGACTACAAATACCAACATACTAATTATACAAACGACACCAACTATCGCCTTTGCAATCGTCTTCATTACGCTGAATCCTTTTAACCCCAAACATGTTAAAATTAGAATCAACGGTTTTAGGGACGTGTAGGTCAGAGATTCATCAACATCCAAGTTCTTCATGTTAACCTGCTTCAGTTTTGCAATCTGCTTCTGTTAGTATGATCTCCGCCAGGCACTGATTCTATTTCTAGAAAATACATCACCGCAGAATAGGACAGAGACCTTTTCATACAAAGAATAATGTACTTTATTTGCCACACTAATTGGAGAATATGAAAGCTAGAATGTTGTATGTTTTGTCGCTGTTTTTGATAATTAAGATAAAAAGGTTTCATTTGATTAACAACAGATTACATTAGGATATATAATCAATATCCATCTAATGTGTGTTATCCATATCGTGATTAAAGCTAAAAATATGGTATAGAATTGAGTTAATACGAACTATTTCACTATCATTGACATTGTAAGCTTTCCATTTCAGTTGGTCATCGATCTTTATGTTAGTTTTAGTCCCTATAACTTGTATTTTGGTGCAAAACTCTTTATACCGCACAGGTAGGAATGTATTACTTCGACGAAGGTATGAGCTGGACTATTTAATAGAAAGGATAAATAAATTGCCTGCGATATCACCTCGGTGGAAGCGGACGTTAAATAAGGCTATTTTACACACAAATTAATTTCCATTCTAGTAAAATAATGACGGCCATACATTAACATCTGCATATTTTAATTCTAATTCAGGTTAACGTTTCCATAGCAACAGTGCTTCAGTGAGTAGCCAACTGGTTAACTACCCATTTGGAGGCCTGTGTGTTCCCCTAAAAGTTTCTCGTGATATTTCAGTGTGGTTTCCACTTGTAGTTGTGGGACAGCAAACCAATACACCGTATACACATTGGCGTACACGTAAAAGAACCTAAGAAGTTAGAGTTCCTTGGCCTACATGTAAGAGAACCCTAAAATTTGGAATTCGTTGAAAAGGTTTTCCGGGAGCACACTACATGGTTAGCTACGACAACGTATTAAACTATTAGGACCAATTAAACATACTCGGTCCAATGCAGTGACACAACGTTCGCTTAATTGAAAATATTGTTAGTTAAGTTTATCAAGCTGAGCTTTTAACCGACTTTGTATGTCCATTCCATACTGGTAATCTACTTGAGATTTTCTCTTTGTCTAAGTCACTCATTTTGATTGGCTGTTGTTCATGTCATACATTTAGATCCGACTTCACGACGGTTAGACCACACCCGTTTTAATATGTCGGGCATAGTAAAAACTTTTAACGCTTCGATTAAAACAAGCCAACAGTGAGGCTGATGTCCCCCGCCGAAATAGGAAAATAATTAGAGGACACATATAAATTTATCACAAATTATCTTTTACAAAGTATTGAACAATCAAACAGTATATCTTTACTTATAGTCTAACAATCAAAGTAGGAGAGTTATTGTTTTCCAAAGTCTCGACCAATCAAATTGCGTATCGCTCTGCTTACCCTGAGCAGAAAATGCTCATTATCAAACTTAGTCAAGGTATTACTGTAATGAAACTACACACCAAGTTTCATCAATCTCACTTAATTAGAACTAAAGTTATCGTGTCCCAAAGCATCAACCAATCAAATTGCTTATCTCTGCTTACCCTAAGCGGAAAATGCTCATCTTCGAACTCCATCAAGGCATTGACCTAATCAACACATACACCAAGTTTGAACATTCTAGCTCAATTAGGAAGAGAGTTATCGTGCCCCAAAGTATCAACCAATCAAATTGCTGCTTACCCTGAGCAGAAAATGCTCATTATCAAACTTAGTCAAGGTATTACTGTAATGAAACTATACACCAAGTTTCATCAATCTCACTTAATTAGAACTAAAGTTATCGTGTCCCAAAGCATCAACCAATCAAATTGCTTATCTCTGCTTACCCTAAGCGGAAAATGCTCATCTTCGAACTCCATCAAGGCATTGACCTAATCAACACATACACCAAGTTTGAACATTCTAGCTCAATTAGGAAGAGAGTTATCGTGCCCCAAAGTATCAACCAATCAAATTGCTTATCTCTGCTTACCCTAAGCGGAAAATGCTCATCTTCGAACTCCATCAAGGCATTGACCTAATAAACACATACACCAAGTTTGAACATTCTAGCTCAATTAAAAGTTATCGTGTCCCAAAGCATCAACCAATCAAATTGCTTATCTCTGCTTACCCTAAGCGGAAAATGCTCATCTTCGAACTCCATCAAGGCATTGACCTAATCAACACATACACCAAGTTTGAACATTCTAGCCCAATTAGGAAGAGAGTTATCGTGTCCCAAAGCATCAACCAATCAAATTGCTTATCTCTGCTTACCCAGACAGACAGACGGACAGACAGACGGACGAACCCATTTTAATAGTCCCCTGCTTTCTTCGAAAGGCGGGGGACAAAAATATAAATTGCACACGTGTCCCATGTTCGAAGAACTTAAGATCGCTCAATGTGGCACAATATATATTATATCTGACTTGGGTAGCCGTAAAACAAATAACGTCAAGTGCAAGTGTTGTAGAGGGGTCTGGGGGTCGTTGCAACAAACAATCCAGAACGGGTTCAAATCTTTATTATAGTATAAACCAGGCAAGTAATAAAAACCCTGCAAATATACAATTAAATATAATATAAGTTTTCCAAAATAAAAGAGAATATCAAAATATAAACACATTATCTAACACCATTACTACAGCACACAAATAAATCTGTGCTACAAAGTAAATCACTGTTTGCAACAAATAGTAAACATGGTACCGGTACTTTAACTAAACTACTCTATATTTACATTCTAAACTAACTTACCCGAAGTGGGGTTTTAAATACTTAGATTAGCTAAATGTAATCAATCTAACAACCTGAAATAGGATGATATATATATATATAATGTGTGAATGTATGTATCATGTATGCAAATAAACTTTACCAACTTGATCCATAAAAACTAACAACTTCAGTATTAAAATATCAAACTACAGAGTTAAAGATACACCTTATATAATCAGTAAAACATAATGCAACATACCTGGTAAATAACTGCAATTCTTTACAAAAACTTCACAGAAATCAATCTCCAAAAACTAAACTTAGACACTACTTTGTTAAAGCTCCTCTTTGTAACAAAGATGGTTAACAACTGAATGTATCTACCAACAAATACATCACATGACCAAAACACAATGAAACTCAGTTAAATGTACTCACTATTATTAAAGTAACAACAGCTTAAAGAAACTGACAGAAGAAATGTAAAATCTTAAAGTGGGGGTTTAAAGGTGCTTACTAACATGTGCTGTACTAAAAACATCAAAAATTAATATACACAAAAAATTGTAAAATACATTCCATTTTACCACCTGTAACATACTCCCTCCCCATCGGAAATGTTGTCCCTAACATTTACCAGTAAATACATCTGGAAACAAAGCTTGGCATAAAATAGGTAGCATCACGAGGACCACTCTCAGTCTATCTGCAGGAAGAGACATAAAATCTGGTGGTAATAATGACTGAGCTATCTCTGCGCGCTTCTTCCATGGTGGTACAGCTTCTATCTGGTGAGACATAACATACTCTCCACCCTGAATCCATTGAGGAGCTGCTCTATTCCGCCTAGATCTTCTTGGCTGTGGTGACTCTTCAACAGACGAATCTGACTCCGAAACTGGTGTAGCAGGCCTTACTTCACCATGCTGAACTTCTAGCTCAACTTCGTTCACATCGTCCTCTCTTCCAGTCATATCTGCGGTGTTAACCTGGGGCAGGAAATCTGCTCCATCCACAACATATACTGGTTCGTCATCTTCACCACTGTTGCTGGATTTCTCGCTTAGATGATCATCAGGAATAGGCTTGTCAGCACCTGAAACAGAACTTTTACCCTTTCCTTTGGAATCGTTGGCTGCAAAAACCGGAATGGAACCTATCGGAAGCAAATGGTTGCGATGTAACATCCTGCTTTTCTTTGAACCTACCTCGGATGCCACTTCATAAACCGGAATATCAGGGTTTGGTTTTCTTACTATGGTGTACGGTGTCTCTTTCCACTTATTAGCAATCTTGTGTCTGCCTTCTTTAAAAGCGAGCCTTTTTACCAGAACACCATCTCCTACTTCCAACTGGTTGCTCCTTGCTCTAAGATTAAACTTGCCCTTATGATGTTTGTGGGTCTTCTCCAACTCAGCCGAAGCAGTCTGGTATGCATAATCCAACTCCTGTCTTAAATTATCCACATAGGTCTTATAATCCTTGGCATTCTCTTCATTGTTGACGAGACCGAGAAGAATATCGATTGCTAGAACGGGCTTCCTGCCGAACATACGATGGAAAGGTGAAAATCCTGTGGCTGTATGTTTTATGCAATTATACGCATGCACTAACGATGGTACATAGGCTTTCCAGTCACTTTTCTGATCCGGATGCAGCGTTCCTAGCATATTTAACAGAGTACGGTTGAAACGTTCG